GCAACAAAAACTGCGGGGAACTCTGCAGAAAACGCATCTTCGCACGGGCAGCCCGTGCGTTGGCCATTTTTTATGATTAGTTTTCTTTTGTAAATTTTTTTGCCTATGATAGGTCTTTTTTCTCCTTTCCCGGTTTCAACTCGCTTTTGCGTGATAGTCACGCCTTCACGTACTTGATAATAAAGTCAGCTTTCGTTTAATTGTCGCGTTTTTTCCTCGCTAGTGGTGCAGCTGGCAGCAGCACGTCGTGAACGGAGATCTATTTTTGCAGAGGACTATGAACCATAGGCTTAACATCCGGATATGTCGTAGTAAACAACTGCACTGCCTTTTACACTTTGATTCGGTGGTCTGCAAAGCGTACTTTTTTTTTTTTCTAAGCCCTGTATTTAACTTTTTTTTTTCAGATCTGTTGAAAATGCTGCCACTGGTTGCAAAGCATTTCTGGATCGACAGACTTGGGTTGCTATAAAGGTTTTTGCTTTTTATTTGTGCATTTTTGGAGGAATTTATTTATGAATTTAGACGTCAGAGGACATTCTTGGTATTTTTTGTAGGCGTAAAAAGGAGACCCTCATCACTGATCTTTACTAATAAAGGATGATCTTTTGATATGATAGTGGGTAGGAAATGAAAAATGGCCCGAAGGATAAGTAATAAGTGGGAAAATTTTGTTTTGTAAGGAATTTATAAAAATATGTAATATATTAGAGAAGAGTGGAAATAACTGAAAAGAAAAATTTCGGTCCACTGAGTCGTATACATTCCTGTTCAGTATCATTATGTTTGCGACATCTTCATCTTTTGTGGCTTACTCAGATCATCTCGGTGAGATCCAGTGGTGGGAGTTTTAATTTACTTTATCACTTGGCAGATTTTGTTTTTTTTTTTTCGTTCAAACTTATTTTTCTTGCGATATTTACACTTCACAAGAGTCGGTAGCTTAAAAGATAACACATAGATAACACATCACGATTCGATTCGAAGATTATTAGCACACAGAGGATTTGCTGTTTGGTTAATTGAGTGAGATATTCGCTACTATGATTTCAGCGTTCTAGCCTCTCAGATCCCCGAGTTATGAACTTACGCCAAAAAAAGTTTGGCAGGCCTTTACGCGGTTACCACTTTTTTCCAAGGGACGGGTTTGAGTGCACTAACGCCTGCTTTGACGGGGAACATCATGCTTGGCCTAAGGAGTAAGATCATGGTGAATTTTATCTTGTGCCTTTCCTAAAATTTTTACTTTTTTTTGCAGCTAATTCGTTGTCTGAACCACCTATCAGGAGTGCTTTCTACGGAAAAGATGCGTGAATTGACGCTAAATGGTATTTTAAACCGAGTGTTGCCCGCCTTTCATACTTCGGTGATTTCGGATCAATCGATGATCCGAAAATGTCGCGCGCTGATGAAATTGATCCTGCCCAGCTGGCGAGATGAAAGCTCAAGTATTGCGT